ACAGGAGTTAAATTGGAGTTGGAAAACAGTCACCAACTCCAACTCCACTCCAACTCCGCTCCATGTCATTTCAACTCCACTCCAACTCTACCTAACAATGAGGTAATGGTAGAGCTGAAATCAAAGCTGAATCAAGAATTCGAGTTGATAAAGTAATTATGAGAACTATTGAAAAAGAAAAGCGTTAATAAAGGTGTAGAAATGATTCTTTTCTGAATTCTCATATGCATCCACCCTCACATCCTGTTCTAGTTTACATTCAGTGAGTGTTAACAGAATCGGATTTAGAACAAAATTTTGAAGCAGTCCTATGATTTGAAACAATTGATCATCAGAACCCCATGTGTCACTGCAATATTTAAAACTTCCTTGAACAATCGAATAACAGTTTCTCGATTTATGAATTTTAGGCTCGGATGTTGGATCCTCTTTATTGGCCATTCATTTTTCTTTCAAATCTCTTTGTCGACTAGATGATGATTCCAATGTGCAATAAGAGGAACTCATTTATATTTTTCTTCTATTTCTCTCTCTTTCTCTGATACATATTCTGATCTAATGATCCTCACGATAACAACTAGTTGTTATTTAATAGAATTGTTAGTGATATATAAAGGTTCTTTTCAAATGGAATAAGAGTTGATTGTGATGGTGACATATACACAGTCCAATATTTGTCAGACACATCTCTATTTATGTTCTCAGATGAAAACTCTCTGAATCACGAACATTTCATAAGACAATCTTGAGAATTCTCATTTATGTATTTCAAAAAGAAAGAAAAAGAAACTAGAATTATTGAACAGAATATTTGATAAGTCCTTTATAAATTGTTGTCTGACCATATTTGCTATAAATAGCAACAGCTTTCGAACCAACAGTCACTTTTCCTTTTAAAGTTCGATCTTGATATCCTTTGGCTTCGATCTATTTCGAACCAAGTTGTAAATTAACACTCTTTGCCTTCGGAATTGCACAATGAAAGGAGATGATCGTACCCCTTTTGGGTATCCCATGAATGGGTTTATATATTCGACATTGTGTAGTTTCAAATTGATTGATGATAGGAAACTTCATGGGTTACCGAAGTTCTGTGACATTGGTATTGAATTGAACAGAACAGAACAAGTATATTCGCTATCCATCATTTATTAGGCAAAAACAGTGAACTTATGTTCACCGATACGTTGAGGTGCAAATAACAATTGCCATAGGTTTCTTTTACTATCGAATTGGGCCAATGTTCCATTTGATACAATGGCATCATGATAATAAATACTACATGAGAGTAGAACATCATTAGGTACTGGCATAAGTATTTCGTCGAAGGATGCATCTTTGGGTCAGACAATAGTTGAACAATTTTTTGGTGATTCCACTTGGAGATTAAGCTCGTGAAATAATTGCCATATCTGTAGATAAGGTAGAGGCGGTATTGAAATTTGTTTCGCTTCAATTTTAAATGATACAACAGCTGAATAACTTCTTGTATCCGATTACTTTTAAGCAAAAATATGCGCTTCGAACATACCATCCTGATTAGAAACAAAATAAAATTTCCAAAATCGTTTATATTTATCGTTGTCGTAATAATTGCCATTTTTCATCGTCTGGTAAATGATGATAGATCATTTCATGCGGACGTTAAAGGAAATAATACAGATTTAAATCGCACTTAAAGACTTTCCCTTTGCTCATATGTTCAGTATTCCATGTCGAATCGATTAGATATCAATGTTGTTCAATTTCAACAGCATTCTATGCATGACCTTTGTCGGAAAAAACGCCTTCACGATGATAAAATCCATATCCTTTAGCATATCCATGTATCACTTCATATGGAACAGCCAAATTATCACATAAATATTGGATTGGTGCAAAGTCTTCGCTGATTTTTTTAAAAATCTTTTAAAATCATCTGCATATTATGCATGTGTGTCTTGTGCATATATCATAATACTTGATCAGTGCTTGTTATAGTGTGATTCACTTATGTTGGATATTTCATCCTTTTCTTTCCTGTATTCCACTATTGTATAGATGACACATACATATATATATTGTTTTTTTTCTTTTCTTTTTGCAACTTGGGTATCTCTCTTCTCTTGATGTTGTTCAGCTATCTTCCTCTGTCGTTCATATTTCTTTCCCATTGCCATTGTTTTTTTCCTAACTTGTTCACTATATATTCTGCAACCGTTTGAAAAATAAAACAGACGCTTATTTTCGATCAGTTAGATCGATATCACCCGTTAACAGTGCTATAAAATGACATTAATAAATATTCTCGAGTATCAATGTTTTGGATTAAAAATGTCCGAGATTTCTATTCATGTTCGGCACTGTATTTTGTATGAGTTCCAACTCGGCAACAATGCAAGCGTCGCTGCCCGTAATAGTTATGGTGCCCTTGGAGAAGGCACAGCTGTTGAACGCACATGTCGTTACTGATTAAGAAGATTTCGAAAAGGCAATATTCACTGGCAGATAAAATCAGGTTCGAACGATCCGTCGAGTGTAATGTCGAGCGATTACAAGCACTAGCAGAAGACAATTCATGTCTTATCACACGTGAGTTGTCAACAATGCTCGGTTGCAATCATTCCACCATTGATCGCCACTTGCAGCAAATGAGTAAAGTCAGCAAACTTGGACCATGGATTCCACATCCACTGACGCCAGACAATATCCGACAGAGGATCACCATCTGCAGCTCTTTGCTGTAGAAGCGCAACTGTCAGAGATTTCTTCAGCAAATCGTCACTGGCGATGAGAAGTGGGTTCTCTATGTTAAACATACACGCAAGCGCTAATGGGTCAATCGTGGAGATTTGCCGGAACCAGAGCCGAAAAGCGACCTGTATCCGAAAAAGGTGATGCTATCAATCTGGTTGCATTTTCAAGTCATAATCTACTACAAGTTTCTTTCTCCTGACACCACAGTCGATTCCGAGCTACACTGCAAACAACTCCAAAATTTGAAGACCGCCCTGGAAGCAAAGCATCCAGAACGGCACAAAATTCGGTTGCGCCATGACAACGCCAGACCTCATATGGCCAAAATCACCCGCCAGAAGCTGGAGAAATAGAGATGGGAGGTCATACCCATCCACCATATTCACCGAACTTGGTACATTCCGATAATCATTTGTTCCGCTCGCTGCGCTACCATCCGCGAGAAAAACACTTCGACGATTACAATCACTTAAAATTGGACGTAGAAACTTTCTTTAAATCTTTGTATAAGAACTTTTTTGAAGATGGTATTGTAGATTTGCCTAAGAGATGGGAGTATGTTGTTGATTGATGGTATTTTGTTATAATAAAATTTAAAAAAATTTAAAAGAAAAAAATCGGTCAAGACTATTGCACCAGCTCAATAGTAAGTACATCAGTAAGTTTGTAGTCATTCAAAACTGATAACTGTACAAATTAGAAGCTACTCCTAACAAGTAACACACTAAGCCGTAAGATATTCATAAGTACAGTAGTAACTTACTCAACTAAGAATTATGAGTAACTGGTTACTCAGGAAGTTAACTTATTTTTACTAACTTATCTTTTACAGTCTCTGGGTGATCTAGATTTGCGCTGTTTGAAGTCAAGTTACATAAAATAGCTTTACTTGGGTGTAGCTGTGCGAATGAAGGCGCGATTAGGCGTAGATGAAATATGATCGCTGATGTGGCATAAACAAAGGTCACATCCATCATCCACCTTCCCAATTGCTTACAGCCTCACCTAACAACATCCACACCCGTGCCTATACCCTCCATGAGATGCAGGCCATTCGAACCATGAATAGACGGATATTGTCTTCAACGACGTTAATCGACGATGTGTGATGAGCTCTGGGCGTATGCATCAGTGAGAAATTAATACAATTACTCACAGGCACATCCATCTATGCCTTTACTTTAATTTCCCTTTCACCGGAAGTCGATGTTTTTTGCATTAGAATTAAATGAGAATCAACTCTCAAGAAACGTTACTTTTGATTATTTATCATAGAATTATAAAAAAAAAGGTATAAGTTAAAATTGGTATCATCTTTCATTCAAATCCTAAGATAGAATAAAATTCTTTTATTGTTTAATCATGGCTATGAAAACAGATAAAGAAAAACATGTTAGTAAAAAAAAAAAACATTTCATTGTATTTTGTTCAATATTTAAATGAGAAAATTCTTTGGAATTAATGTTTTTTTCGCTAAATTTTGTTGACCTAATGATTGACGCATTTGGACGGCAATCTATCAAAGATTTAACAAAAAACAATAAAAAAATAATCAATTGTTTATAAAAAAAAATGATCCTTACCAAATTGAGTAAATAAGTAATAATAGCAGCTAAAACATAATTGAATGCAAAATAATCAATAAACAGAAATGTTGCCATATTCCAAATAAATAATGAATTTTCATAACCAGCAAATATTGTTTTAGCGAAGTTTCTATCAGGATCTTTTAAAGGAGAAAAATAATTTCTTTTCTTCTTTTCTTTTTCACTTACCAATATAGAAAATACTATCTGTCTTGTCTAATAATTCAGATGTTCTAGTACTACGAAACTCACAATTAAGAAGTTTTTCTAGCATCCAACGAGGACGTATGATATAATTATATGTTGGTAATGAACGATTAATAAAGGCACATAGAAATTCATTTAAACCTCGATATGATGCCAATAAAATTTCGGATTCACGTTCTTCAATTTTTTTGTTTGAACGTGTAAGAATTCGACTCTAAAACATAGAATTTAAGGAATCAATTTCTATTAATCGTTTCTCTTTACTTGATAACTTCGAAGTAAAAGTTCGTATTGAGATCGGAATGTTCGATCAACTTTAACAATATACATTTGATCGTCAGAATTCGGTTCTAAACCTCTTCTACCAATCTTTTCTTCTGATTCACGTTTTAAATTCAACATCATATCTTTTACATTAACATCCGTTGTTTCATGTGGTGATCGACCATGAAGATAATATCCATATTGATTATCTGTAAGTATAAATACACTTATATTTGATATTGAACATAAGTCAATAAAATTAATTATTCGATCTTCAACAAAACGTTGATAAAAAATTACATAAACCAAATATTGAATAAGAGCTAAAAGAAATTAAATTATAAATATATAGAAATAAAAATATATATCTCTTTACCAGTAGCAAGCCACATAGAAAAGGCAATACCAACACGTAGAATACCATTATAGCCTGGAGTATAATCAGATGAAGATGGAAAAAGATTTATACCTGGTTGTGCTGTAGCTACATTTTCTAAATTAATCACCTAAAGAAAATTTTTCAATGAAAATATTTCTTCAATAAAAAAAACTAAAAAAAACTGGTTACTTTCAAAAAAAATAAAACAGATAGTATATGAAATGTGACACTAATGCGTCGAAATGTTTGAAGTTCATTATATTCATTTGCTGCAAAATATGTTCGCCAAACTGAAACATCATTTGTATCATCTACAATATATATTTAATCACAGTCAAAATTTCGAAGGTTTTTCAAAATTTTCTTCGAACTTGTTTTTGATTTTTCCCAATCCATAAAAAATATATCAATACTTGATTGACGCATAATTAAATTAAGAATATCTAATGTTTTAAGTGAAAATGCAATAACCACAAGTGCTGTAAATGAACCTTGTTGAACACTCGTTGGTATAACAAGAAAAGCTGAGCCTTGTCTCTAGAAAGAAAATTAAAAGAAATAATGAAATATCAATATGGATTACATTAATATTATACTTTAAAAAATATTAACCACCAAAGTGATACACCAGCCATAACAATGAAAAAAACTGTTCCAATAATATTAATAATATAGAGTAAGACTTGACCAATGGTCTTTCAAATAGAAATTTTAAAAAAAGAATTGAAATATTAATTGAATAGAAAAAAATTGATTGTCGTACTGCTAAGTCAATTATTTGTCTTCCAGATCTTGAATACCAAACACTTGTTCGAATAAATGCAAGTACTATACCCAAACCACATAAAACACCAATTGCTATCCAAATATCACGAATATGTGAATCAAGATTCATTCGATATTCAGTTTCAAATGTAATCTATTCAAAAAAAGACACTAAAGAATTCTAATCTATACATAAAATCATGTCTTCATATGCTTTTTCATTTCATTAGTTATTTATCGATGATAATAAGTTTTATATTATTAAATACCTACACGCTGAAATTTTATTCTTACCTCTACAAGAGTTTCTTTGCCTATATCAGATGAAGTTAACTCATTGTATTCTATAACAATTACTGGTGGTTGCATATATGCACCTCCATTTGTTAATGTATTTAGAACTTTTATTGATTTTGCATAATGAATATTTCTTAAGTCTAGAGTAAAATTCATATGAAATAAAAAAATAATTTATATATATATATATTTATATACCATTAGCAGTTTTAACACCAGATATGCGATCAAGTAGAAAAAAACGACGATGATAAACCCATTTAGATTCATCATCTAAATAAATTTAATTTTAGAAGATTATTGTCGTGAAAATTAATAATAATAATTACTATCTTGATTAGGAGTAGTATCACGATCTGTTTTATAATTTTTCACAACAATAGGAGTTGGTAACATGTAATTGGTATCAGATTTAGTGAAAACAATATCTAAATGTATACAAATCAATAGTAAATTTAAAAGAAATACATCATTAGAATAAATCTTACATGGATCAAAAAAAGCAGTTTCGTATAATGTTGAGTTCCATAATGCATCAGCACGAATAACACACTAAAAGAATAAGTATCATTCGAGATGACAACTACGCTAAGCCACTTATATGCTGTCACATTAAAATCCAAAGAAATAAAGATTATTTTATTATAGATTGTCATTCAAATTTTATAGTTGATTTGATTGCGTATAAGAACGATTCGTTCAATAGACAATTTAAAGATAATGATGACAAAAAAATCAATATATAGAAAAAGCAAAACATTTTTATTGAAAAGATCAACATTAGAGATTTTGTTAGGTCAGGATCATGTTC